ATTGTTACAGTTATTTATCAAGACTCGAAGAAGAGAAAATATAACCTGCAGGGGCAGAACATGACAGGTCATGCTTACATGTTCATGCATGTTCATGTGACTTTCTTAAAAAACATTATAGAATTGTTACCACACTTGATTTACAGTAGTTCTTAATTTCTGTGAGTGGGAATATGATGATTTGTTGTACTTCATTTTGTCATTTTGTTATTTTGTCTCTTTCTTTAATAAGGCAGCACCTACAAATTAATAATAACTTTATAGGTATATTGCATCCTTTGCATACATGCCAGATCTCACGGCATTAGGCAAAATCTCACGGATTTCACCTCTGTTAAAGTCTCACGGCGTGGGACGTGAATTTACGGAAAATCCTCAAAACCTCATGTTTTTTAATGATCGATCGGTGAACCATTTTCCCGTTGTTGTTTACTTGAAGTTTTACGAGATTCAACAATGTTATAAGCACTAAATCCTGAGGGCACTTGAGTAGCGGTCATGTGATGGTCATGTTATCCATTCGTATGCAAGTGTTACTGGTGTCAGTGAAATTGTAAGTTTATTTTGGTGTCTTTTACAATATGTAATTTATTCGAACGATAGAAATGAATCCATATTATATATTTAATTTGATCCCTTCTTATTGTTGCCATTCAATTCCGTGATACTAGCAGACTGCCTGACATTCTTTAAGTCTTAGCCACTGCGTGACGGTGTCGGCTTCACCATTAAAATTTTAATGTGAAGTCAGTAGCATTAGCACAATAAATGTTCACCGTCATGTTTGTAACGTTAGTTCATTGCTAGACACTTTGAAAAATATGATGTCCGGCTATGCGTTACTTTACAAATATACTGATATAAGATCAGAGAACGGCCAGTCTAAGGCATATGTCAAAGAAGATGGAAAATGGCTTTGATCTGAATGCTCAAATATTGAATTCAAAAGTTCAAATGCAGAACACAGTTTGCTTTTCTTTCACAGCTGATTATTTCTGTCCTCTTGTTCAATGTATGTTTCCAGATTATATTACAATGCTCAGAAGTTCAAATGAAAATGAACAAAGACAACTGTAATCCTTATAAACTCATCAAAATCCACAGTTCAAATTAGTTAATGTCTCCTAACTTGAACATCAGTAGTGCTGTGGCTGCTGTGAATATCGAACCAACTAAATTGCGATATTTAAAGTAAACCTGCTTTTTCAGTTCATCTCAATTAATTATATGTGATAATATTTTGTTTTGTAATTTTTGTGCTACTAAATATATATTTATAATCATATTCAATATTTATATAACAAAAAACTCTGCCAAAATCAAAACAAAGATCCTTAATGATTTTGTACTATATATCATTGATTTAGATGAAAAGGATAAAAAAAATTGCTGTGAAAAACGCCGCGCATAAAACCTCCCTTATTTGAGCCACAATTCCCTTAAAATGATTGTAAAACTCACAGAATGGTCTCCAAGAATTCTGGCATGTACGCCTTTGGTAGATAGTAAATTAAGGGTCCATGTCCAAATGCTGTAAATTAAGGGTCCATGTCCAAATGCAGTCAAAATACTAGAGAATTCCACTGGGTTTCCATACATACAGTAACCTCCCCTTATTTTTTTTCAGCTCACCTGGCCCCGAAGGGCCAAGTGAGCTTATGCAGTGGTGCGGCGTCTGTCGTCCGTCTGTCCGGCGTCAATATTTTACTTTAATCAACTTCTTCTCAATAACCACAAGGCTTAGGATCATGATATTTGACTAGAAGCAAACTGGGATGAACAGCTACCAAGTTTGTTCAAATATATAGAGGTTACACAACGAGTGATTGTTGAATATGGTATTTATTTCACTCGAGTTAGTTAATTTTCCAAAGTTACAAAAGACACGAGCTTTAGCGAGGGTCTTTCTGTAACTTTTGAAAATTAACTAACGAGAATGAAATAAATACCATGCATACTTAACAACCACGAGTCGTGTGATCTGTTTCTACCACAATCTCAGTCGGAAACAGCTGGAGTATTTCCTGATTTGAATAGCATACACACATTTTGTTGACAAGGCTGGCATAGTCATATGACCCATATGTAAAGATTCACTCATTAATATCTTGTATTCAAAAATGACTTTTTTTTTTGAATTAATAATTTTCAAAATTAATGTTTTGGCAACAACTTTAAAAAAAAAAAAAATTAGATGAACGACCTTAAATATTGAGAGTATGCAATATTGAATTAATTAATATAAATTAACCACAGACTATATGCGCGTAAGCATATCATACGAAGTCTTCCTCCCGCCAAGTGATGAAGACAAACTAATCGTTGTCAATGTCCAAAACCATAGGCCTGGGACTTTGCTTTGTGTGGTTCTATGGTTGACGTTTATAGTAATAGTTCCGCCATAGACAGGCCCTCCAAATATTGATAACAGGACATGGGGAGAACGAAATATTTTCCGACACTGTTATAGATCTTGTTTGGGTTTCACAGAGACATAGGCCTATATATTACGTCTCTGGGTTTCATGACCTGGACACGCGACGGTATGGCGTCGAAACGATATCGAGCGTCTGTAGCAATTTTGCCTAAAACTAGCCATCAAATCTTTAAGCATCATCTTATTAAGGTAATGCCTTTAATAACCCCCGTTTCCCATCGCATAACCTCACGAAAGTCACCAACATTTGCCAGATGTTGACAGCAGACGACGTAAACAAAACAGCACGCGGAAAAAAGCCTGTGAAAAATGTCGTCCGGTCAAGGTTCATCTTCTCGACCAATCAAAACTACGGAAGGTCATATACTACATGTGGTGTATAACTCATATTTATTCAACAGTCTGCATGTTTATACAATGATCTGAGAATGGAATAACACAGCATATTGTGGTAGAAATGACCTTTACCAATATTCAAGGTCATAGGGGTCAAATATGTTAGAAAACTCAAACAACTTCTTCAGAATAACCAAAATGCTCAGGGTGATGATATTTAGCCAGTAGCATGCTAGGATGAAGGGCTACCAAGTTTGTTCAAATGAATGACCTTCACTCTAGTCAAAGTCACGGGGGTCAATTGTCTAAAAAATAGTACTTTAAAAACTTCTTCTGAATAATCAAAAGGACCAGGATGTTGATATTAAGCCAGTAGCATGCTGTGATGAAGGGCTACCAAGTTTGTTAAAATAAATGACCTTCACCCATATTCAAGGTCACAGGGGTCAAATTTGCTCAAAATCTTTTAACAACTTCTTCTGAATAACCAAAATACCAAGGGTGATGATATTTTGCCAGTAGCATGCTGGGATAAAGGGCTTCCAAATTTGTTTAAATAAATGGCCGTCACTCATATTCAAGATCACATGGGTCAATTGTCTAAAAAAGTAGTTTAACAACTTCTTCTGAATTAACAAAAGGCTTTGGGTGTTGATACTTGGTGAGTAGCATGCTGGGATGACGGGCTACCAAGTTTGTTCAAATGAATGACCTTGACATTTATTCAAGGTCACAGGGATTAAATATGCTCAAAATCTTTAAAAGACTTCTGAATAACCATGAGGCCCATGATGTTAATATTTGGTTAGTAGCATGCTTCGATGAAGGGCTATCAAGCCTTTTCATTTGAATGACCTTGGCCCACTTTCAAGATCTTATTTAGTCAAATATGTATAAACATTTAAATGATCTAATCTCAATATAGAAAAGGTCTAGGCTAGGGTGGTGATATTTTGCAAGTTACATGCTGAGATAAAGGGCTATAAAATATGTTTCAACGTAATGACCTTGTTCGACTTTCAAGGTCACAGAAGTCAAATATTTTTAAATCTTTTAACAGGTCCTTTAATATATTTTAATGACTTATAATTATAAATACTGATATTTTGCCTGTAGCTTCATTTGAGATAACTTTTAAGGTTACAAGTGCGAGATTAATACCGGGTGAGCGATGCAGGCCCATTGTGCCTCTTGTCTTACATGGAAATAAGGCAGTGTTAATTACCATAAGGAAAGATATATTCATCACCAAATGATGTCATACTTGCCAACTTCTTGAAATGTTCATGGGGGGAGGGGGGGATTATGCATGATCAGAATGAAAAAAAATAGATCAAATTTATGTACACCCTAGGGGAAAATAACACTTTAAGCTGGCATCTTTTGAGCTGTTCTTTCAGACGAATTAAATTATTAGGTCTTGGGAAATAGGAATAGTTTATATTAGCTATTCACAGGTTGAAAACGCTGAATTTTAGGGTCCAAAATCAAAAGTCTCCCTCAAAAATAGGGAGAGTTGGCTAGTATGTGATGTGGTTCATGAATTGTGTATATACATGCATGTATGTGATGAAGTTTTTTTTTGCCTTTTTACTTTGCATCTATTATAAGATGTTAAACATTATAGTGTACGTAAGTTTAAAATTGATGTCTGTCTGCAAAAACTAGCCCCTTTTACAGTTGGTGTGTAGATACCAGGTAATATAATCATTAAAATTTTGTTATATCTTTTCTGTTAGCTTACAAAATTGTAATGAATTCAAAAGTCTGGATCATTGTGTATAAACATCACGTATCTCTATCATAACCATTAGTGTAAAATTATATGAGTTCAGTGTGCTTGAACATTAAATGATAATATGCAGTGTCATTATATGACAAACACCATAGGTAAACATGTCTGTTATAGCATTGGTATTATATTCATTATTCCTGAAGCATAATGTGACTTTGATGTTTAATCAATAATAACTACAAAGATCCTACTTCTGTTTGCATTAACACTGATAACGTCGGCCAACAGATCAGTGTAATGCTATTCTCGTTATATGGTACAAGTCGAGTGATCAGGGGAAACACCTGCTGAAGGTGATACTGAGGGATCTGATGTGTAGCTTTGCTCACGGCAGGAACATCTATGTTAGATGAGCATGCTTAGACATTGAAAATTATTATTAAGAAATTTAAACTGAATAATGCAAGCTGATTGTGGTTTTATTTGTATCAGTTTCGAGGGATCTCAAGAAGATGATGTCTTCAGTACTGATGTTTGTTCAACAGTCACTTCAGGTTTTACTGTAAATGCAGGTAAGTAAACTTTCTAATTTTAAAAGATTTCTCTAATTTCTGTTAGAGATCATTAATCACAGTCTTCTGAAGGTCAAATTCATACAATTCCCTGTCAATGCAGGTAATTAAAAAAATACCACAATTCCCTGTAGTTGTGTTTTACAGCTAACAGGTATGATTGCATACCAGCTCAGCATGTGTACCTGCAGAACTCTCCTGTCATATATAATACAGTTGGTGCTAACTGAACAATCTTAACAGTGTTACAGAGTTCCAGCTGTGTAGTGAGAGCCTTGTTATCACAGTGATGCAGATAGGTGATGAACAGTCCAAAAATTCCCTGTTAATACAGTTGGTGCTAATTGAACAATCCTAACAGTGTTACAGAATTCCAGCTGTGTAGTGAGAGCCTATGTTATCACAGTGATGCAGATAGATGATGAACAGTCTAAAAATTTCCTGTAAATAAGTTCAAGGTTGTTGTGAACAATTCCTGAACTCCCTGTGTAGTCAGAGTTGTTGCTGTAACAGCAGCTTAGTGAACAATCTCAGTATTCCTTGTGGTACGTCAGTTCGATATGTTGCTGAAAACACAAATAATTGATCTCAGAATTTCTTTTTAAGTACTCATGCAGGCCAATGTTGCATAGCCATTCCCAGAATTCCCTAGTGATCATGAGACATCCCTGTAACAGCAGGTTAATGAAAAATACCACAATTCCCTGTATGATGTTGCTGTAATTGCTGAAGTAACCTGTCCCAGAATTCCCTGTTGATTCAGTTTATATTGCTGTTAACTATGTTAATTGTGTAAACTATTCCAGAATTCCGTTGTCAAAAGTTGCTGTAAATGTTGGTTTACAATCAAAAGTTCAATTGGCTGTTTTTCGAAAAATTAGAGATTGTAATCTTGCAGGGGTCGACACTAAAAAAAACTTACTAGTCCACTAGTCCTGATCTAGTAGATTTCAGCAAGGACTAGTGAATCACCTAACCAAACTGGTCCTTTAATTATTTTCAAATTAAATGATGGTTTGTTTTACTTCTTTAAACCTTATAGAGTCGAGTATATATAGGTCTACAATAAATAACTATCCATGATCATGTATGTTTTGCTACTACCACAATTGCTTAAAGCTAATGGATTATTCTTATTTCTTGTAACTTCAAATTCAAACAGATATATATATAGTATGTGAACATATCTACCCTAGACGTTTAGTTGAAGTGACCAGGTATTATGACTGGCCATTTATTGTGGTCATTGTGATGTTATTTACTGCCAGATGAATGACCACAACAATACACCAGACATGGTTGGATAGCCTTGATTTTAAAGGTTTAAACAATGAGAATACTTGCCATGCCTAACACATTAATCCTTAATGATAATGAATGGCTGGCCGATTCCTGGACGTTTACATCTATAGATTTACAGTGAGAATACAAATCCATCCGACAGGGAGGGCATTGTACACTTGTCCTGTATATACATAAAGGTAATATATCTGTAGCCTCGCCCGATATTGGTCATATTGATTCAGGTCATGTTTTTATTTTTTTTCTTGCTTTGCACCTACATATTATAGAGAGAGATTTTATCCTGTCGCCTGCAATGTGTGATGTGATGTTGTGTATTTACAGCACTGCTACTTGTACTGTTACCTGTGCTCAGCTGTACTACCTGTGATTATATATGCACACTTATTTATACCTGTGATTGGAGTTGAATCAATACCTGACACCACACCTGACACATATATTGTCTTTAATGAAATTGTTACATCTTGTTTGGTAGTATCACCTGACTCCACCACCATGACTACGCCAAACTACCCAGCGGAAATCTTCTCCAGAGTTTGTCAACAGTAAGTATGTATTGATTTAAGGGCACGACAGAATTGTCGATTAAATATCATTTCCTTTTATTGTCAATTAAAAAAGAAATCTTTATTTTTACATTTATGTTACTTGAAAGTTTACTAACATGCTTGCAAATCTTTCACTGTTCATAGAGATAAACTGCAAGACAGAATGGAAACAAAGTCTAAAATTTCTTAAAAATGACTTACTTGACAAAATAATATAGTATATAATGCATTTGTTTAAGATGTATGTTCAATGAAATGATTTCAGAGTTCATTAACAAATATGGTACATGTCATACACAGAAAAGATAGAGTTAAAGACTACAAAGTTTACATAATGTCACAGTGTTGAAAACCTCATACACCTAGAAAGACGTTCAAAGTTTTATATGTAAATTTTCTGGTTTAGAAATATCATTCTTTTAAAATGCATGAAAACAAAACAATCAAGGTACTTAAACTTAAATATTGAAATTTTATCATTCAACCTTACAGATTAGCATGCAATATATATATAATATATGCATACACCTAGAATAGCACTCAAAGTTATCAATTGAAAATAAAACCTTTCATGCATATTTTAACAGCAAGCGAGTATAATAGGAACAGAGTACAATGTTTAAAAACTTTATATTACAAATTAAAACAGAAACCTTCCCAGTTTCCTTCATGCATATTTATTGTATCGTAGTTGTGTTTGTGTAATGTGTGCGGGGATTGGTGGGCTCTGAAAAGATATTCTTACGACAGAACATAAAAAAATATATCGCAGTGGGTAGTCTCCCACCAATCCCTGTTTGTAACCCGTTTTTATTTGTCTTCTTTCACCATGAACTTGTGTGATACAAGATACAAGAAACTTTATTTTTTGTTGTATAAATATCAAACATGAAACGTTAGCTCTGAAAAGATATTCTTACGACAGAACAAAAAAAAATATCACAGTGGACAGAGATGTCAAAAAAAATGCAATAAAAAACAAAACGCACATCAAAATTGAAACTAAAAATATACATGTCTATGACAAGAAACATGCAGGAAATAACAGAGGCTTATAAGAGTTATATAAAGTTCCTTAAAATAAAACCACACTTAACTATAATCAATGTATCCACTAAACACATTTACACTACAAGGGTATATTAGATTAAGATGATGGAATGTGATTTAATGAAAATTATATTCAGTTACAATAATATTAACAATAATAATCAAGACTCAAATACCCGGTAAGTATGAAAATACATTTAAGTTAGATAAGAGCCTGATTTTCTATGTTAAATACAATAAAAAAAATGAAAGCTCAGAGTACAGGTGATCGGGAATCCCCTACTTACCAAGTCCTCTGGCCATAGAAAAAGAGGATAATTTAAAAAAATATTTTTTTTACAGAATAGAAAATTCACTTTTCTCAAAACCTACTATCCAGGTCCCCTAACGCAAGTTGGCCAATATGGTTTTAGGCCTCGCAGAACTAAATCATTTACTATATGTTATCACTAAGCTTTTCAGCTCATAGCGTTAATATTCGAAGTTCAACTGCCCAGTGACAACTGTCTAGATTCACAGATACACACCTGACAAAGGCTTCAAAAGGCATTTTTTGGCGGGTTTAGTTGCATATAAGAGCGCTACAGGCATCTGCTGTTGACAACCAGAAGTTTATAAGCCAAATCGATGAAGTGGGATGGGAACACCCCCTGACTTTTGACAACATATCAATCCGCCATCACATATATTAAAATCTACTAAAACTATACGTAAAATATGTCAACAAATACCTATTTAAATTACTCAGAGGCACCAAATTTAACTGGAACAAATTCTAGGTAGGGATTACAATGGTATGAAACACTTGCTGATTAACTGATTTAGTTGTGTGAGTCCTTTAGACCAGTTGAGACTGTTTGAATATAAACCCTGTAGATTCAAAATTTGCCTTGTAGCTTGAAGGGATAACATACTAATTTAATTACTCTGAAGTTTGTTTCATCAAATTGCTTTGATCATTTTTGAAGTTCACATTAGTAAAACAAATTAAAATAAGAAAGATAGATCCATATATGTATTAAAATGCATCACGAGACATAACTGGGGAAATCGGTCGACAAGTAATAAAGTATTCTACCTACTTATCTTGTGAAGCTTTTTAATGTTGAGAACACTCACACATACTGTGTGTTATGTGTAGGTATGGAGTCATGATATTTAGCTTTTACTGGTATTAGGCTTGTTTAAATAAATTTGATCTTGACCCACTTTGAACATTATAGATTTAAGATGTGTTTGACAACAATTAAGAACAAGTGAGTGATACAGATCCAGTCTACCTCTTGTTTATGAAAGTTTCCATGGAAACAAGTTGCCCTATTCCAAATTATTTTCGATCTTACTGAAAACAAAGTTATGAAAATAAAATGCACGGAATTATTTGAAGAAAAAATGTTGGTGGACCCAGGCCATACTTGCCAACTTTTTGAAATTTCCATTGGGGAGATTCTGCATGCTCAACATTAAAACATTAATAAAATGTGTGTATACACCCCTTTGGGACAAAATAACACTTTAACCCTTTCACCCCTAGGTAACTTTAGTAGACTGTATCATGCATTGATCTGGATGAGTCCATTATGGTCTACAGTGGTGAAAGGGTTAAAAAGACATAATTTGAGTTGTTCTTTCAGATGAAACCATTAGATTTAGCAAATTCACTGGTGGAAAATACTAAATTTTAGGGTCAAAAATCGGGAGTCTCTTTCCTAAAAAGGGAGGGCTGGCAAGTATGCCAGGCACAAATTTAAAGTATTAAAATGCCCCAGATTTCGGGCAAGGGAAAGTGTTCGCAGTGTCTTGGTTTTGAAAGCTTTATTATTTACCTATAGAGTACATACCATATATTTTACATGAATACATTTAAATTGTTCTTGTCATGAACTTACATTAGCATCCTATTGATGTCATATCTGATGATTTATGATTTAAAATGAAATATGATTGTTTTGTGCAAACATGTTGCAAGTCTTTTTATACTGTATGTGATTTATACTGATACTTGAAAAGGTATATAATTTTGAAATATCAGATGGTTTTATTACATATTTTATATGGGGTTTGAAACAGAAATAAATCTCAGCTAGATAATAGAATGTACATGTATACATTTATATCACCTATTGATTTTTCATCATTCCATCCACTTGTCACGGTTTCATTTTTTACTTTTAACTTCGATCCCAAGAAGTCATAACAATAATGTGGTTATTCCCAAAAACAGTTTGATATTATAATGAAAGATATTCCTCCCAAGTTATATAATGATCTGTATCATAGCTGGATAGTTTCCTGGCGAGACATAGGTGTTGCTTTTCCGGCGACGGCGGCTTCAACATTAAGTGTTTGTGTTTAAGTTAATTTCTCTGAAAGTATAAGTGCTAGATCAACCAAACTTGCACCATACATGCATCTTAGGTAGTACGTCCCAACCCTTGCATCAAACGCTGGATGTGGCATACCTCTTATGGTCCATTTACTTTGTCAGCATCTCAATGAACATTAACTTTTTGCATTTAACATGGTTTCTCTGAAAGTATAAGTGCTAGATAAACCAAACTTGCTCCATACATGCATCTTAGGTAGTACACCTCAACCCTTGCATCAAACTCTGGATGTGGCATACCATTCATGGTCCATTTACTTTGTCAGCATCTCAATGAACACTAACTTTTTGCATTTAACTTGGTTTCTCTGAAAGTATAAGTGCTAGATGAACCAAACTTGCACCATACATGCATCTTAGGTAGTACATCTCAACCCTTGCATCAAACTCTGGATGTGGCATACCTTTCATGGTCCATTTACTTTGTCAGCATTTCAATGAACATTAAGTTTTTGCATTTAACTTAGTTTGTCTGATATGTGCATTGATGGTCAAAGTGGGGCATAGGCGAGACATATCAATCTGAATGGCTTGTTTAGCATCCAGGGGGAAATGTTCAGTTGTACTTATATAACATTGGAAATTGAAGCCTGAAAGTCCCAATTCCAAGGCATTAAAGTGATTAGGAAATTATGTGAATAGTGCATTGATAATCTGTATGGCTTTAGAGTTTTGCTACTTTTGAAATCATTTGTGTGAAAATGTTATTACCTTGACAGTGTCGCTTTCAAGGTCATAGAGGTCACATGTCACATGATTTGTTAAAATATGCAAACAGGTTTTTCAGAATTACAAAGAAGCCTAAAGAATCATGAATTTCCTGTGGAGAATGCTGAGAAAGCATGTTAAAATGAATGACCTTGACCCATTTGCAAGGTCAGAGGGGTCAAATATGTCTAAATCATATTACTACCTCTTCTGATTGACAAAGAGACCAAGCTTTATAAGGGTCGTACTATTTGGCCTGTAGCATGCTTGCAAGAGTGTTCAATGTTGTTGTTTTTTCAATTAAATTACCTTGACCCACTTTCAATGTAAAAACGGTAAAATAGGTGAAAATCTTTAAATAAGTAACTATTTTTTCATCACCAAAAGCCCAGGAATTATGATGTAATGTTACTTATTTGGACTGTAACCTACTGTGGTAAATGGCTATGAAGTTTGTTCAGATGAGTGACCAGTTGATTCACTTTCTGTGTTGCAGGGGTTAAATATGTTAGAGAAATACAAATGCTTTTATTTTCAAGATATGTTAGATTATCATATAGCTTGAATACTTCAGGACCAAAAATATAATTAAAAGATTATCAGGTCAAGTTAAAAAAACAGGAAGATACAAGAAACTTATTTTTTTGTCATAGATGTGTAACATGTCACATAATTAGCTATTCTTACAACAGAAAGAACTGAGAAGAATATATGAGTTGAGGTTGAAAAACACCTAACAGAGGATTCAGTATTAGTAATTTGTTGGAGTTAACTCTCCTACTTTTAAACTCCTTTGTTATCCAGATTAATGTCATATTCATTCGTGTGCTATCTAAGCATCAATAATGCATGCAATCTTTTTAGTTAACAAAGTGTGAAGGTTGTGTTATGTTGTAGGGAGCAGATGGAGTTACAATGTCGAGCGGAAGGTCTCCAGCATCAGAACAGACGACTACTGGAGGAAAATACCAAGCTACAGCAACAACTGGATTCCCAGGAAGACCACCTGACTGCTGCATCCACCGAAAAGTACCGATTGGCCAGAAAAATCAAGAGGTATGCAATATAGGCAGTTCTGACATCAATATATAAGAAAGGTAGGGTCCACACCAATGCTAAAATCCCATATGGTCGGTCCACGCAGAGATTTTTTTGTCTCGCTGCCATGAAGTAGCGGAAACGAGACTATGTTGATGCTTTTTGTGTCGCCTGCGAAAAGCTGGTGACACAAAGGTATTGCCATGTCGGCGGCTTCGTGTCTTCGCCCGAACAGAGGTTTTCGTGCGATAACTTGAGTTTCTTTGGGCCGATCAAACTCAAACTTCATGTAGGGCTTCCTTATCAAAAGTGCTTGCTTGGGATTGCTTTTCAGGTCCAAAGGTCAAGGTCACTGTTACTATAAATAGAAAATCTGTTTTCGTGCGATAACTTGAGTTTCCTTGGGCCGATCAAAATCAAACTTCATTTAGTGCTTCCTTACCAAAAGTGCTTGCTTGGGATTGCTTCTCAGGTCCAAAGGTCAAGGTCACTGTTACTATAAATAGAAACTTCACTAAAACTGTATACTGGACGTCTTCGATCTACCACTTGACCCACCGTGTATACCTCTGAAATGTCGTCTTACTCCAAGTGTTATTGACAACACTAGCTGGTTAACATCATAATCCACAAGTTTATTCATTTATTTATGGGAAACCATCCGACAAATTTAACTTTGAGACAATGAGTATCCATAGCAAGTTCCTTAAAATTCGGTGTATTCTTCCCAGTATAACAGATTATATAACAAAATGATGCCATCCAAAAACATAATCTATGATTATTGCTTACTTTTAACATTATTTCTTGAAATGAAAAGTGTATCTATTTCTTCGTAATCTCCCAGCTTCCTGCACAGGAGACACATCCACTTCTGTGGAATTCTTGTTTGTTGCTTTCTAAGGTAGTACATCACAACCCATACATCAAACGCTGGATGCGGCCTAGTACCTTTCATGGTCCATTGATTTTGTCAGCATTTCCCTCAACATAAAGTTTTTGCGTTTAAGTTAGTTTCTCTGAAACTATTAGAGCTTGACTCACCAAACTTAAAATGTGCATTGATGGTCAAAGCGTGTCACAGGCGAGACATATCAATCTGAATAGCTTGTTTCATATTTTGCAACAACGTTGCCAGACTGCAGACGTTATTGTTAATGATGGCCTCAGCTCCGTAGGGTCAGATTTGACCAAATTGGAGCTCCTTAAAGTACTTGCTCAAGAGCCGGAAAAAATCACCATTTAAATTTAAAGCTGACTTTTTCCATTATAATGCTGCTGCTAAGGTTTAGTTGATCATTTTGATACCAAATTTGATGCAAGGGTTGAGATGCACTTAGTTACTAGAATCTGTGATGCCAGTACAAGTTTTTTTTATCAAAACTGGAGTCCAAAATTAGCTCAAAGGAGCACTAATGACATAACATCACCTTCGTCATGTTATGCTTTATTTCAGGATTTTACCTCCAACGCCAAGACTTATGTTGCTAACAATGAAATGTCCTAGTTGTTAATTTGCAAAAAAATGTTTTACTGTCAATTACTTTGTTAAATCTCTCATCTCATTGTTCTGAGATACAGTTATATCAACATCGACCATTAGAATAGATGAAATCCTGAAATACAAAATCAGTCAAGCTGTATTGGTACTTACCCTCTCCCAAGTAAAAAGTACACTTCTAGCAAGGTCTACGGGCGTATCATGCATCTGCTTGTGGTGCTCTTGTCACAGCTCCGCATCGGAGATGTTGATGCCCTATAGTAATCATGGTGTCTATCTGTTTGTCTTTCTTTCCTACCTCCCTTTCGTTACTGGAAACTATTTCAGCGTCTGTCGTCCGTCCGTTGTCTGTCGTCCGTCAACTTTTCCTTTAAAACGCTACTTGTCCTGAACCGCCAAGCAGATTTTGACTACATTTGGTCTGGAGCATCCTTAGGCCAAGGGGACTCAATTTTGTATAAATGGTGGGTGTGGCCCTCCTGGGGCAGAGGGGTGGGCCCAATAGGGGAAATAGAGGTAAAACCTTTTAAAATCCTTCTTCTACCATAGGGATTAAGGGATTTTATCCTAATTAAGTCTGGGGCATCCTTGGGCCATGGGGACTCAATTTTGTATAAATGGTGGGTCTGGTCCCCCAGGGGGCTGAGGGGCGGGGCCCAATAGTGGAAACATAGCAAATTAATTATTCATTAAAATCCTCCTTCTTCTGTAGGAATGAAAGGATTCGGTCCATATTTGGTGTGGAGCATCCTTGAGTAAAGGGGAACCAATTTTGTATAAACGGTGGGTCTGACCCTCCTGGGGGCCGAGGGGCAGGGCCCAATAGGGGAAATATAGCAAATTCTTTAATATCCTTCTTCTTCTGTAGGAATGAAGGATTTGTTTCATATTTTGTCTGAAGCATCCTTGGGTGAAGGGGAAACAATTTTGTATAAACCATGGGTCTGGCCTCCGAGGGGCCTGAGGGGCGGGCCCAATAGGGGAAATAGAGGTAAAACCTTTATAATCCTTCTACCATATGGATTAAGGGATTTTATCCTAATTTAGTCTTGAGCATCCTTTGGCAAAAGGGACTCAATTTCGTATAAACAGCGAGTGTGACTCTCCTGGGGGCAGAAGGGAGGGGCCCAATAGGGGAAACATAGCAAATTCTTCAAATAACTTCTTCTGTACAAATGACAGGATTTTGTCCAAATTCTGTATGAAGTATCCTTGGGTGAAGGGGAACCAATTTTGTATATATGGTCTGTCTAACCCCCCTGGAGGCAGAGAGGTGGGGCCCAATAGGGGAAATAGAGGTAAAACCTTTAAAATCCTTCTTCTACAATAGGGATTTAGGGATTTTATCCTAATTTAGTCTGGAGCATCCTTGGGCCAATGGGACTCAATTTTGTATAAGCAGTGGGTGTGGTCTCCCAGGAGGCAGAAGGGCTGGGCCCAACAGGTGAAATAGAGGTAAAACCTTTAAAATCATTCTTCGACCATCGAGATTAAGGGATTTTATCCTTATTTAGTCTTGAGCATCCTTGGGCCAAGGGGTCTCAATTTTTTTATAATTGGTGGATATGACCCCCCTAGGAGCATAGGGGGGGGGCTATGGTTGAAGTTTGTTCTCGCTATATCTCAAGTACTGGATGGATCTGTACTTACAGCACCTACCATGGGGTGCTATACCTTTACTTCATACCAATTATTTTAAACATATTCAGGTGAGCTATACAGGCCCTCTGGGCCTCTTGTTTATATGACTAGTAATTATATGCTGTGATATATGTAGATGTGCAGTAGGGGCTTGAAAACTTTCTAAGGTCAAGGTCACTGTGACTAAAAATAGACCAATTTGAAGGTACAGTAAGGCAAATGGGGCCCTTGCTGAACTGGTAAGTCAATGTCATATTTGTGTTCATAAATCAATGCTGTTGTCTCTAAAATCTTCTCTGAATGTGTGTACTTTTCACCTGCTTTTCAGCCTACAGGAGATTGTGGACTTAAAGGAAATTCTGCAGACAGAGAACGAGGAGTTAAGATGTGCCAACTCTCGCCTGCAGGAACGTAGGAAGGATCTTGAAAATAAACTCAATCAGCTGGAGAGGGAGAAATCATTACATGACATGCATATCATAGATCTGGAACACAAGGTAGGAAGACATCAATGTGTAACTTGCTTCACACTATTAGAGATCATAATTATATGACTTGGTTTTGGATCTGTAGCTTGCTGGAGTTAAGGTCTATCACATTTGTTACTATAAATTACCTTGACACAGCTTTAATTATTTGTACATAACTCTGAAGCTTAGAGTCATGATATTTGGTCAGTGATTTGCTTGGGTGAGGAACTATCAGGTTAGTTCACAGAGCTTTTCCTAGTGCCATTGTTTGCTGATATTTGGCCCCATTCTTAATGGAAAATGTTGCTTTTATTTCTCTATTTTTTTTTTTAATTTTCCAATCCCCTGGAAAATTAAGATTTTTTTTTGTAACTGCTTGCTTTCAGAAGACAATGGTTTCGTAAATAAGGATATTTTAGTCTTTTAGATAAAACATTGCAGAAAAAAAACAGTGTCTGTATAACTCTAAAAAGCTTCCAATTTGGTTTTCTGCAACATGTTTTTCCCAAATCTCAAGTGAGGGGCCCCATATCCAAAATTTTGAAATAAAGGCCCTGATTCAAATGTGTGATATTGACCTCTAATTTTTTGGTCAAATATATTACAAAATGGTGCGTTTATTAAGGCCAGTAAAAAGGGATGCCTAATGTCACAAATATAAGGTTATTACTGATTTCAACTCATCGTGTCTGAAGAACTGCTGAGCTAACCTAACACTATTTTGTGTGGACATGGAGAGACTTACATATTCATGTCTGGAGATCTGACTTTGCTTCTGGGGCCTTGTCCAAAAGTTGTAACATTGAAACGATTGAGTTCCCCAACCTATTGCTATATACATATTTATACCTATACCTATCGCAACTGAATTTGCTATAGGGCATCTTGGTTCTTGGGGCCATGAAATATGTTGTTGTATGAAGGAAGAGTGAGCTGGCCTTAGAGCTTAATTAGGTTCAGATTATATAAGAAACCAGTAAGTGATACTGGCTGTATGGGTTTTATGAATTTCTAGCGACAACAATTCTTGAAAATATTGTAACAAATGAAAACTGATATCAAAGGGAATTCAATATATTAGATTACCCAACACTTACTGCAGAAGACATGGACAGACCACTGATACAAAAATAATTGTATTTCAAATTTGTTTTCAGCTCCAGACAATCAGTGGACAGGTGGAATGTTTGTCTATTCAGAAACAGGATCTTCATATCTCCAATGTAGAAAACAAGGTAAGCACCTCACATCTCAAAAGTATAAAAAGAAACCCTTCCTATCTCAAATGTAGAAAATAAGGTAAACTCAACATATCTCAAACTATAAGTTACATGTATTCGTGGACTATGAATACCTACTCAAATGGAGAATTGCTTTATATCAGAGTTGTAATTACTTTGTGGACCTATGAATTCGTGGATGAAGATTACCTAAGACAAAAACGAAATTAAAAACCCTACGAAAGTTAATGATTTCACAGCATACCATATTTTTTTAAACTTCATAAAAGATATGTTTCATCAATGTATCTATTTCATCATAATCTTGTAAGTTTTGAATTATAAAATGCACATTTACACATATTCTGATTGTTTTGCACAGTTTTATAAATATCAAAAGCTTTCAGTGTTTCTGTCGCACCTGATTTGTCATGATTGTTTCTGCAGTGTTAACACCATGCTACAGATCAATATCAGCCGTTCTGGCAGTGCCCAGAAACAGCAGTAGCCAATGTCAACAACTAGACCATTAAAAGTGGACAAATCAATATTTCACATGACAATATCATTCAGAACGTGCCTTTATTGACAAGTTTATTGTTATATTGATATACAACTTTATCAAAAATATCCATTAATAGTGTATGTGGTGTTGTGTGCACTACAGAGTATAAAGACCTGATGCAGAGGTATTTGAGAATGATCAGGTAATGCATATTTGCCAACTCTCCTTATTTAGGAGGGCTAGACTCCTTATTTAACCATTTTGGACCCTTAAATTTAACATTTCCAAACAATGAATTTGCTTAACTATACCTATATTATAATATTTAATGATTTTATGTGAATATGTCATTTTAAAGGCTGGGTGGGGTTGCATCATTTAGACATTTCATTGGTGTGCTAGACTAACCATGAAAGGCTCAATGTGCAAGGTGGCGTTTTTTGTCCCCTCACCTACTATAGTCATTAGGAGAATGGCATTGCATTTGATTATGAAATGTAGTCTATGGTACACCTTCCTAGGAGGGTGTTCAATACATGTATTGTAACATGTATTTTTAGCTCACCTGGCTGAAGGGCAAGTGAGCTTATGTAATGGTGCGGCATCCGCCATCCGTCCGTCCCTCGTCCATCTGTCCGGCGTCAACTTTTTGCTTTAAACAACTTCTTCTCAATAATCAAAAGGCCTAGGAAGATGATATTTGGCCAGTAGCATGCTGGGATGAAGGGCTACCAAGCTTGTTCAAATAAATGACCTTGACCATCTTTCAAGGTCACAGGGGTCAAATATGTTAAAATCTTCAAACAACTTCTTCTCAATAACCAAATGACCCAGGGTACTGATATTGGGCCTGTAGCATGCTGGGATGAAGGGCTACCAACATTGTTCAAATGAATGACCTTGACTCACTTTCAAGGTCACTGGTGCCAGATGTCTTTAAAATCTTCAAACAACCTGTTCTCAATAACCAAATGGCCCAGGGTACTGACATTGGGCCTGTAACATGCTGGGATGAAGGGCTACCAAGTTTGTTCAAATGAATGACCTTGACCCACTTTCAAGGTCACTGGTGTCAGATGTCTTTAAAATCATCAAACAACTTCTTCTCAATAACCAAATGGCTCAGGGTACTGATATTGGGCCTGTAGCATTCTGGGATGAAGGGCTTCCAACATTGTTCAAATTAATGACCTTGACTCACTTTCAAGGTCACTGGTGACAGATGTCTTTAAAATCTTCAAACAACTTCTTCTCAATACCCAAATGGCTCAGGGTACTGATATTGGGCCTGTAGCATACTGGAATGAAGGGCTACCAAATGTGTTCGAATAAATGACCTTGACCCACTTTCAAGGTCACTGGGGTAAGATTCTTAAATCTTCAAACAACTTCTTCTCAATAACCAAATGGCCCAGGGTACTGATATTGGGCCTGTAGCATGCTTGGATGAAGGACTACCAAGTTTGTTCAAATAAATGACCTTGACCCACTTTCAAGGTCACAGGGGTTGAAATATGTTCAAATCTTCAACCTCTTCTCAATAACCAAAAGACCCAGGGTACTGATATTGGGCCTGTAGCATGCTGGGATGAAGGGCTTCCAAATTTTTTCAAATGAATGACTTTGGCCAACTTTCAAGGTCATTGGGGTCAGATGTCTTAAATCTTCAAACAACTTCTTCTCAATAACCAAATGGCCCAGGGTACTGATATTAGGCCTGTAGCATGCTGGGATGAAGGGCTACCATGTTTGTTCAAATGAATGACCTTGACCCACTTTCAAGGTCACAGGGGTCAGATGACGTAAAATCTTCAAACATCTTCTTCTCAATAACCAAAAGGCCCAGGGTACTGATATTGGGCCTGTAGCATTCTGGGATGAAGGACTATCACATTTATTCAAATGAATGACCTTGACCAACTTTCGAGGTCACAGGGGTCAAATGTTGTAAAATCTTTAAGCGACTTCTTCTCAATAACCAAAAGGCCCAGGGTACTGATATTGGGCCGGTAGCATGCTTCGATGAAGGGCTACCAAGTTTGTTCAACTGAATGACCTTGACAAACTTTCAAGGTCACAGGGTCAAATGTAGTGAAATCTTCAAACATCTTCTTCTCAATAACCAAAAGGCCCAGGGTACTGAAATTAGGCCTGTAGCATGCTGGGATGAAGGACTACCATGTTAGTTCAAATGAATGACCTTGATCCACTTTCAACCTAATGTCCTTGTTCAACAATCAAGGTCAGAGGCGTCATATGTTTAAATCATTTAATAGGTTCTTATGAAATCTTAAGATTACAAGTGTTAGATTAATAACAGGTGAGCGATGCAGGCCCATTGGGCCTCATGTTTATGTTATGTCATACATGTATTTTTATGTTATGTCGTTTTAATAAAAACGGCCATTTTCAATCATTACGTCTTTCTGATTTTTATTGACAATTGTACTATTACATAGCTTGCTGCTTGACTGATATGTGCGAACCATTCAACATAAAGGGTGATTTTGTCTGTAGGAGGCATAAACACATGTATTTTATTTATGTTTTTCATTTTGAACATGCACAATCTCCTACATAGAAACTTCAACAGGTTGGCAAGAATAGTTCTAATGATGCGATAGGAAAATGGTCGTCCATTATATGTATATCCAGAACATTAATTAGTTTTAAAATTACAGCACTTCCAAAACAAACATCCATTAATTTAAATACGTCCTGTTATCCGCTGTCCAAAATATCGTAAATCACAATAAACTTTCATTTATAAATCTCTTCCTATGATAAAATGTACTTTCTCTTGTTCCTGTTTACCACTGCCGTTCCCCATACCACTGCCTATAAAAATCCTCCAGAACTGTAATGAAAAAAAAAGTTGTTCTGAGGGTGAAAATAAATTAGGGATTCTATATCTCTCGACCCCCAGATTTAGAAATTGTCACTCTAACAAACTGAGCTTTCTAATTGACGATGGTTCCCTGGCTTAGTTGTGCTACAGTATATGATAAAACAAAATTAAGGGGAGGTTACTCTGCCTAGAAAAGCTAGTGGAATTCTCTGGTGTTTTGTCAGAAGTAAAATTTCAAAAAGAGGTTACTGTGCCTAAGCCTAGGAAAAGTTAGTGGAATTCTCTGGTGTTTGGTTTGAGGAAAAATAATGGGAGATTACTGTGCCTAGGAAAACATTGGAATTCTCTTGTGTTTTGTCTGCATTAAGTGGGACGGGTATCCTTAAGTGTATACTGTTATTAACATAAAACTTACACTGATCCTTACTTGTTGAGCAGCACAGAATGTCACAACTCCTGGAGGTCAAGAACATGCAGGAAGTCCAACTCAACGAGGTGTGTACACTGTTTTAATGTTGATAGTTCCTGGTATTCCTGATTTCAATTTTTTGGTGTGGATAAAACTTTCCAAGTTAAATTTTCTGAATGTTAAAGTATTCTATGTTTTTAAAAATTATAACAAATTATTAGTGAATAAAAGATTAGTAATTAAAATTGTTTTTCATTATTTTAGCCAAGAACAGAAGAATTAATTTAAGTTAATCTTAACATTATCTGAAAATAACAAAGATGATTTAATGTACTCTAAAGGTCTCATGGGGTTCCCTTATATATTTTAGAGATTTAATGAAGTTAAAAACCTACAGAATGAAATCAAGGTTATGTCTAAAACCATGGAGGTAAGTTGTATAAAATTTGATAGAAAGAAAAACATTTATTATTTTCTAGATTCTTTGTGTAACAATTCAAATCATGATACTTTAAAATGGACTGCATTCAGGTATTGAGATTTAACTTGAGAACCTATGAGTACAATGTTTTTGTTTTCAAGATATTTTATCTACAAATAACATTTTATATTTGTACAGAAGCAAAGCTGTTACTTAAACAAAATATAATTAAATAGAAATATTTGGTTTCATCATTTTGTATATTAATAAAACATTATGACATGTTAAAACATTATGTCACCCTCACAAGCATAAAACATTATGTCACCCTCACAAGCATAAAACATTATGTCACCCTCACAAGCATAAAACATTATGTCAACCTCACAAGCATAAAACACTATGACACCCTCACAAGCATAAAACACTATGTCACCCTCACAAGCATGAAACACTATATCACCCTTACAAGCATAAAACATTATGTCACCCTCACAAGCATAAAACATTATGTCACCCTCACAAGCATAAAACATTATGTCACCCTCACAAGCTCAAATTTTCCCCGATCAAATTTCCCTCATTCGGATCCTCTGGAAAAAAATCAGCAAGAGCCACCACAACCTAGTTCCGAAAGATGGAAACAGATGACAACAATGGCACTTCAGCCTAATCATCTCTACTATTGTGTTAATACCGTAAAAACCCATGTAATTTGCATACTTTTTTTTCAGAAATTTAATACCCAAAGTGGGGGGGGCGTAAAATACACAGGTATAGAAAATTTCAAGTTTTTTTCAGTAAAAGATCGACGATTCTGAAAGATCGCCATCTTGGATTATGTCCCTTGGTACACGGAACTCTAAGACAAATGACGATCAACAAATTTATTTATGTCAAACATTAATAAAAGATACATAATGTGTTGTTATGTGAGTTTATGTGAAAAGTATCAATAAATAGGTAACCGCTAACAAAAAAAAAGTTTAGCCAAATTCCTATGCCAGAGAATCGCCGATCAACTTACGACATTACGTTTCGACATCTCGGTGCGTTTCCCCATACTATTACGAAAATGTAGTTGTTCAATTTAAGCTCCGTTCTATGTAAGTTTTGTGAGGTTTTTTCAAATCGCCTATGCATATACGTATAGCATGTTTTTTTCCGGCTCACTTTCATGTTGATCTCGCGTCTAACATTACGTAAACATGTGATTCATAATAACCTCGTGAATTATTTCAATATTTATTAAATGAAGCATCGTAAAAATTGTCTGCGTTAACTATTTTTTTCCTTGGAGTAGATTTGAAGAGGATGTATTGTCCACGCTTCTAGTATAAACATATTTTTTATAATCCCTTATCAGTCAAATCAGTCTGTAGTTATGACAATGCAGGAGGGCTTCGTAATTCACGCCACGTGTTGGTGAGTGAAAAAAACAACAACACGGTCCATCGATCGCGACTGCAAACCATTTCAATTAGTAGAGCTATTGTTAATGGGTAATCACAGAGATGGTGTTAGCTCATTACTGCATTGTAATTTGTAAAAAAAATATCGCCAAACCACGGACTTAGATAATCTAATTCCGTGGCCAAACTGAACTGTGACATGACCTGGTTTGAAGTGACGTAACCCAAGCCGCCATGATGAGCTCTTCTCACTGATCGTAATTATGATCAGTAAAAGGTATCTAATTATGTCTTTCACCAGGAGATATGCACCAGCGGTTACTAAACATCGAATTACTTATTAATTGATATGTTTTAGTAAGCAAGTAAATGTTTTATGTAAAATATTGCTAAAATGAATTGATGTATGCCGATATGCGCACACGCGTGTCATGTGTGATCAGATCATTCAAAGAAAACAAGCAACAAAATACACATTTTACGTAGTTTCTTCTTGGTTTTAAATATCATTTTGCATCAATGAAAAAAAATTCATAGAAATATATTTTTTTAAAAAATATTCAGAGATCGATTTTCGGAGCATGAACATCGTTTTTTTTCCAGATTTTTTTTTAAATTCCGGCATAATAAATTATTTATTGCCCTTCTTTAGGGAAACACGATTCTTTGTTTCTACGAGTTTAATCATGTTTCACTAGGGTAAGACTTTATTAATTGAGGAGAAACAAATACTCATGTTACCCTATACAGTAAGGGCAATAAATGAATATTGTGTGAGGGAAATATGAATGTGTGAGGGAAACATTTAATGTTAGGGAAGAAAAGTCATGTGAGGGAAACATGATTGTGTGAGGGAAACATTTAATATTAGGGAAGAAAGATCATGTGAGGATATATATATGATTGTGTGAGGAAAGAGTAATCATGTTAGAAAGAATGAATTTTGTAACTTTGTGGTGAAAAATAATGTCAGGTAAATATGATTTAGGAAAATGTGGTTTTATAAAGGAAATATGATTTTTTTCCCCAATATGTGATTATTTTGCAACCTACTCAGATACATCATATATGCATGACATATAATCAACTTTGCGTTTTCGATGTTTTAGGAACTACAGCAGGAAAAGGAATCTGTGAAGCTCCAGAACTCGCAGGTACAACGTGAGCTATCAAGGTAAACATTAGAGTTACTTAAAGGTAAATTAAGAAATATCAAGGTAAACAGTCACATACAGGTACAACAGGAGTTGTCAAGGTAAACAGTCACATACAGGTACAACAGGAGTTGTCAAGATAAAAAAGTACTTAAAAGTAAATTAAGAATCATCAAGATATGCAGTCACATACAGGTACAACAGGAGTTGTCAAGGTAAACGTACAACAGGAGTTGTCAAGGTAAAAAAATACCCAAAAGTAAATTAAGAATCATCAAGATAAGCAGTCACATACAGGTACAACCGGAGTTGTCAAGGTAAACACTTACTCAAAGGTAAATTAAGAAACATCAAGATAAGCAGTCACATACAGGTACAACAGGAGTTGTCACTCAAAAGTAAATTAAGAAACATCAAGATGAGCAGTCACATACAGGTACAACAGGAGTTGTCATGGTAAAAAAATACTCAAAAGTAAATTAAGAATCATCAAGATAAGCAGTCACATACAGGTACAACAGGAGTTGTCAAGGTAAACACTAGTTGCTCAAAAGTAAATTAAGAATCATCAATATAGGCAGTCACATACAGGTACAACAGGAGTTGTCAAGGTAAACACTTACTCAAAGGTAAATTAAGAATCATCAAGGTCAGCAGTCACACACAGGTACAACAGGTATACATACACATCCCATTCCTGTTTGTTTAACTGTAAACCTCAGTAATGGCAGTTTTTCAGCTCCTGTCAATGGCTATTGCTTGCCTGTTAACATACAAATGGATTGTAGGTGTCCTTAAAGTTATCATATTGCTCTATTTGCTTCTTTTTGAAAAAAAATCTGAACAATTCTAATTAGAAACCAAGCTACATGTTTCTTGTTGGCATCATCAAAGTTTTCTGGTAATAGTTGTCTCCCTTTCCCCAGTTAGGTCGTGGTGCAGTTTGTAATGATGTTTGACTATCAGGGACACTTATTAAGAGAAGGTAGACTATAGTCACCACTTTGTCATTCTGTTGGTACTTTCTGTCCACAGACAGCTCCCTGGATATGTATTCAAAATGTGATAGCCATTTTGCATGCAAACAAATTACTCATGTGGTCAAGGTCAGTATGACTGACATTAAAAATAGGAAACATGTTAAATTCTTATTCAGGTTTTAACTGAATTCTTATGAAGATGATACTATTGAGTTTTTGAAAGCCGATTTGCTTTCCAAACAATTAAGTATGGTGAATCATTCACTCCTAATGCCATTATAAACCAAAAGAAACAACATCCAAAAAATACCAAAATATGGTAAACTTTAACCAACTCTTCCCAATCTACTGAAAGGTTTTAACCAAATGATTGAGTCATGTACCGTCTTTAGTCCATGGAAATCAAAAGTCATACAAATAAAGGAGCTGGCCGTCATGAATGCTGTGATTTGGTCAAAAGAAGGCAAACTGCAGATTTGTTTGAAAGAACATCTAGGCTTGTTTCAACAAAAATGTTGTTTTGCAGGATCCTGAGTCCATAAGGATCGGAAGTTCTATAAAGTGGCTATAAAGTTCCTACTGGTTTTTGTCAAATAAACTACTGTACTTGGTAAATTTCAACCTAAAATTAAAACTTTTTCAAAAAGCCATCTGAGTGATTGAAGGCCCTCAGGAAACATGTTGAAAATGTATAATATAAATTTAGTAGATAATAAATAAACAAATTATTACGAAGGAACATAAAGAATAAAATAATAATTATCCAAGATCGACCGCTAGGTCTTTCTGCCTTCTTAGGCAACTTTAGACAGATTGCCTGATGAAGCCTAAGAAGAAAGAAAGGCCAGAAAGGTCATTCTTGGATACTTATTATTTTATTTGATATGTATTCATATACTTTTGAAAAATGTCGTTAATCATTGGTTGCTTCTATTTCTAGGTAGTTACAGCTATAACATATTTATGTTTGTAAGTTCAAGATTGCTGTTTCTTTGTTTACAGTATACAAGCCAAAATGGAGACGTTCACCTTCCACGAGAACTCAGAGATATCACAGGAGGGTGAAAACCCTAAGCTGTACTCCTGTAGCACGCCCCTAAAGGCCAGCCAGTCTATCTGTATGGAGCTCAAAGAGATGGCCATGGTAAGGACAGCAGTTCTGTAGGGACCAAAATATCACACAAATGTCAATTACAAAATTAGCAATATTTAATCATCTCTATCATGTCCAAGTCTTCCTTTTCTCTTCATGATTTTCATGCCAAGACAGTGTTTATCATTATTTACTACGTATTTTCTCTTTATAGTATTAGTTTTGGTTCTTCTGGTTCTACTTTTAGTATAATCTTACTTGGGCCATAGTTTTTTAACTGTTAAGTATTTCTTGATGAAACTTAAAAGTATACCTGCATGGTGTACTGTGCACTATAATTAAGTCTCCTCAAGGTTAAAAGTTAAACAAGTGTTTAATTTTTAGTTAACAACATCTGTCCAATCCATAACTTTAGTATTTTTCAACATTTCTTGATAAAACTTGAAGTATACCAGCATCATCATCATCTGGAGTGAACTTTAATTAGGTTACTGTGACCTTAACTGACCTCAAGACCAAAAGTCACAAATATAAGCAATAACTTTTAAACTATTAAAGATGTTTTGATGAAACATTGAGGGTATCTGCATCATCCACAGTGCACTGAAATTTAGATCATCATTATAATATAAGTGACCTTCACCTCTTGGTTGAAGGATACTGTAAAACTTTCCACCTGATTGTTGTCAAGGCCAAAACTGTCACAGATATTTAAATGAAACCTAAAGTATACCTTCATCTGCCCTACAAGAAAGATACACCAGTACTTACATTGCAATTTGGTCATGATGACCTTAACATCAGGATCAAAGACTTTGTACAGTTGTGGGATTGCACAACGTTACTTGATGACGTCACAGTTATTCTTTATTGTTCTAGTCACATGACCTTTATTGTCATTGTACCATAGTTGCAAACATCATGTAACTGTGCTCTGAAGACGGCCTCCCTTTGGCCGAAACATGTCAGCATGTAGGATGTAAATCAAACAGAACATTTAGTACCGAATTCAGTGGTGTTGTTGCTCATCTTTTCTTTTTATAGGCCCGTCAAAATTCAACAGGGGTATTATGGTATAGCATCTTTCGTCCGTCCGACCAGTTAAAGTTTTGGTGCAAGTTTCTTCAGTGGTCTACAGTTAAGCCAGATCATTTGTTATTGTCCTAATTTTTGGCATGGATGTTCATGTGGGATTTGATTTGGGAAAATAATTTCTATTTTTGTAAATTTTGGATGTGTTTGGGACTTAATTTTTCTCTAGCAATTTCTTGGTTAAAGTTTTGGGGCAAGTTTCTTCATTTGTGTACATTTCAGTCAGATCATGTGTTATTGTCCTAATTTTTGGCATGGATGTTGATGTGGGGTCGTACAAGGACAATATGGATTTAATTTGGGAAAATAATCACTCATTTAACACGAAGATAATTTTAAGCACAGATTTAGAATCTACTCAGATTCAATATGTATACGTAGCCAATTATGGTAGACATGTCCCTATAAACCCACAAGTCAAATTAAATCAAGGGGAGTCAAAAACATACTCTCAAGGGTCTACTGCATGCCCCGATTAAGAGGCATTGGGCAGTACATTAGCAAAGAACCAATTGCATAAATGTGAACATTACAGTGATGATAATCACTCTTGGTAACATATCAGTGGTCCAGGTTCAGGTACAAAGTGTCTATGCCTGGGTCGTTTAAAAAACACTGAAAACATCATTTCTGAAATTTTAAAAAATATAGATAGACTAATCAGCTTATATATGTAGCTAGAATATAGAAATATGTTAAAACAAGTGGCCGTATCTATTGTTAAGCCATTTCTCAATTTACACCAACCACTATTGTCATCCCAACAACGTTCCTCCATCATTTGCACAAATGAGCGCAAGCAATAATCATCCAAATTTCAATCGTTCACCCATCGTGCACACCGCACATCGTTCAACGTACATTGTGCGTTCCCACAACTGTACAGTATCATAAAGCGATTCTCTTTGTCAGGCATAGGGCGCCAGGTAAAACGCTGGTCATTTATAAAAATGTTATTTACCTGTTCTGTTACCTATTCTTGACAGTCTAACAGTCACTGTAATACTGTGTATCATGCATAGTAAAATCGAACATAATATTCCTTTATATATACAAGCCTTCCAGATTTTTAGGTCACCTGAGACAAAGTCTCAAGTGACCTATTGCGATCGCCTTTTGTCCGTCGTCGTCCGTCGTGCGTCCGTAAACAATTTACATTTTCGACTTCTTCTCAAAAATCACTGAACCAATTTCAATGAAATTTTGCAGGAACCTTCCATGGACAAAGGTAAAAAAAAATGGTTGCCGGTTTAGTCCCAAGCCCCCAGGGGCCTGAGGGGCGGGGCCAGAAAGGCTCAAATTGACTAAAATTTCAAAAATCTTCTTCTCAAGACCCAGATATGGTAGAATCAAATTCTCTTCATAGATGGAAGGGTTTTAAGGTGCTTTACTGAAATTGTGAATTTCTTGACCCTGGGGTCTAACGTTTTCCCCTGGGGAGGGGGTAAACTTTACTATAGTTTATATAGGGAAATCACATTTTGGACCAACATTTGTTTAATTTCCATTGGAAGTAATTCAATTTAGGTTAGCATTATCAGTATTAGGTAGCAGTTTGATAGTATGCACATATCAGCCCTGACTGATCCCCGGGGCTGATGGGTGGGGCCAAAAAGGGTCAAATTGACTAAAATTTCAAAAATCTTCTTCTCAAGACCCAGATATGGTAGAATCAAATACTCTTCATAGATGGAAGGGTCTTAAGGTGCTTTACTGAAATTGTGAATTTCTTGACCCTGGGGTCTCACGTTTTCCCCTGGGGAGGGGGTAAACTTTACTATAGTTTATATAGGGAAATCACATTTTGGACCAACATTTGTTTAATTTCCATTGGAAGTAATTCAATTTAGGTTAGCATTATCAGTATTAGGTAGCAGTTTGATTGTATGCACATATCAGCCCTGACTGACCCATAGTCCCTGGGTCATAACTTTGAAACGGTTGAGATCTACACCCCAGAACTATATATAATAATGCTTGGCATAAAGAGACAAAAGTAGTCATGGTATTAGAATAGACCCTGGGGTCTGACCGAACCCCTAGGGACCTAGATTCTTAGTCACAGCTTGGAAAAAGTTGAGATCCCCACCCTATAACCATGCATTTATACAATTGCTGAGTATAAAGAGATGAATGCACACATGCTTCCAGGATGGCCTTGGGGTTACGGTTACGATCCCCACCCCAAGGCTATAAATACAAATGCTGGACAAAAAGAAACGAATCAAGTCATGATATTAGAATTGATCATGGGGTCTGGCTACAACCCTAGGGATCTAGTTTCTGAGTCACAGCTTGGAAACAGTTGAGATCCCCACCCCATAACCATACATTAAATTGCTGGGCATGAAAAATCTAATACAGACATACTACAAGAATTGGCATTGGGGTCTGGCATATTCCCTTGGATCTCATTTCAAGAATATTTTCCCATGATTGCTTAGATATCCAGGTGAGCGATTCAGGCCCTCTGGGCCTCTTGTTTCATAAAAGTATTTTTGAATTCCTGATAAAAAACATACTTTAGAAAGATAAAATATGAGTATATTCACACAATGGTATTGTGTCTGTAAATATGGGATAAGTTTCAATAAAAAAAACTCTTTAAACTAAGGTCTTTGATATGCTCTGATGTTTCATATTTAACATGCATGGCCTGACATAAGTGTTCTTGCAATGTTATTCAAATAGGCACCTTGGGGTGCTAAAAAGAACCATTCTTCTTTAGACATAAATCTGACAGCCGTTTGTTGCACTGATCTCTGAAGACTTTTGATGCTAACATTTCACTTCATGTTTGTTTTCTTTGATCTATCATTTGTGTGTTTTACAGAAGGACAGTGGAAAGCTACTGCCAACCCCGCTGTGTGCCAAGGAATACTTTGAAGAAGTGTTTGCTGATATCACACCCGTCCTAGACCACAACTTTGAGGAGGAGGAAGAGGAGGAGAGTCTGAGTGAGGACTTGTCTGCATCCTCTAAGGATGATCTCACCATGGAGATCTCAAAGTTTGTAAGTTAAACAGATAGGTTACTCATATCTCCATTTTCTATCAGTGTGTGAAAGTAAATCTTGAAGTGCCACAGACAATAGGTCTATAGGAGATTATGTAGACCTCACCAATTGTTTTTATAGATCACAATTTTTTATGTTTTAAAAATATCCACTTTGAACACTTTCTCACTTGAATGTAGGAAAGGAATGGCTACTCAATAATGATGATAAAAAGTGGTGTAGCATGTGTGAATTCTAAATGTTCTGCCACCAAGTTTCTGTAGCCAATAAATAAGATGGTTCGGTACTTTTTTGTCAAGACCAATACACAAGACTCAAAAACCAAACAAAGTACTAAGTCGAAACGTTTCGTGCAAGTGCCAAAAATTCTGTATAATACTGAAACAATATTTAGGAAGTTCCCAGACACCTGTCTTCATATGACCTTGGCTGTTGCAAGGGTATTAAACCCCAAAAAAATAAACATGCACAAAAAAGGTCCATGGCCAAGAGAAGATTTAACCTTACAATTAGCACTTGCTCACCTGGCTACAAGTGCTTGGTAAGCTTATATGGCAAGGAGTGCATCAGATGTAAATTTTTCCACTACTTTGACTCAAAATAAAATTGAGTTAAGTTGATGCAGGACTGGAATTTGTCACTGTCCAAGTCCCGCTGTTAGCCTAAGTTCAATTTGGTTAACCTCAGGTTCCTCAGTGTTTAATACAGTACTCTTATCACAATTCTGAAAATATCACTGAGAACACTCAATGTTAATCTCAAAATTAAGACCTTATTAGCAGAAGACCCCTTAAAAGGTTTTGATACCAATTACCAAGTGCGGAGTCTTACACAAGTGCAATTCTTCAACAATGCTTTCTGATGATGTTTTACAGGCTGACAAGTATGAAGAGAAACAGACCAAGCTTTTACAAGAGATTGACAGCTATATCCAAGTTGAAGGTCAGCACAAAGACACACACATGGCAGAGAAATTTCAGCGCAATCTCAAGTCTGAACTGGACAAGATGTTACAGAAGGTGTCCACTCTTGCCAAGGCCAAGGAACTCGCCGACAACAGGTAAGGGAAGACTATCCTAGTTTGACAAGCTGTTACTGGCTAAGGAAAAGGCTGACAACAGGTAAAGGGAGACTACTATGGTTTGACAAGCTGTTTCTGATTAAGGAATAGGCTGACATTATGTAAGTGGAGACTACCCTAGTTTGACAAAATGTTAGTGGCTAAGGAATAGGCTGACAGTATGTAAATGGAGACTACCCTAGTTTGACAGGCTGTTATATTACTAGGCTGACATTATGTAAGGGGAGACTACCCTAGTTTGACAGGCTGTTATATTACTAGGCTGACAATATGTAAGGGGAGACTACCCTAGTTTGACCAGCTGTTATATTACTAGGCTGACATTATGTAAGTGGAGACTACCCTAGTTTGACAGGCTGTTATATTACTAGGCTGACAACATGTAAGGGGAGACAACCCTAGTTTGACAGGCTGTTATATTACTAGGCTGACAACATGTAAGTGGAGACTACCCTAGTTTGACAAAATGTTAGTGGCTAAGGAATATATAATAAGGCTGACAGTATGTAAGGGGAGACTACCCTAGTTTGACCAGCTGTTACTGGCTGAGAAATAGGCTGACAAAAGGCTAGGGAATACTACCCTAGTTTGAAAACATGTTATAGAGGTTTGCCAAGGCCAAGGATTCTTTAGCTAGAAAGTATCTATACATGCTTCTTCTTTCTTTTGCAGACTTATTAGCTTGAAAATGAAGTTGATGAAAGTTTCTGGTATGTAGTTTTATTCCTTGTTTCCTGCACAAAGAGCAAATTCCTGTGAGAGAAAAAAAATACCACTTTAACGATATTCTGAAACATGTAAAAAAAAGTTTCGTGCATTTCCTTCCCTAAATTATAATGACAGAGATTTGCAGAGTGCTTGAATTAAGATCTAATCTGAGGAAGTTTTCTAATAAAAAAGGACAACAAAATGAAATTATATTGTACCGATACTCTGTATTGACTACTTAATTTATTCCTGGTCGGTAGATGAGAACCACCAGCTGAAGATGGCCCATCAGAAGTCTTACGAGTTGATAACGGAGAAGGGACTGGGCATGGAACTGAGTGTGGACAACCGACTGCAGGTGTTTAAAGTCACTCTGGACCGGGAGCGCTCCTATATCAAGATGCTGGAGAAGGAGGTAGGACAGTTACGGCTATTATAACATACATTCCCAATGGCCAATTGCTGAATCCAGAAGTACATCTATGTATTATGCAATTTGCATAAAGAACATTTGGCTAATTTATCACAAAAGTGATGAAAATCATGAATTATGCATCTAGTGTGTGACTTGTTTCATTGTAATGAAAAAAATGAAAATAAATCACCTGAAAAAGAATATATTAAAATACAAAAGTAAAGCCAATATCTTGCGTGTTAATGTATAGGTGGGTTAATTAGTTGGGAGCTTTGCTCTGAGTGAAGACTTACTAAATAGTTGGAAAATAGTCGGCCTATAAAATCCCATTCAAACTGGTGATGCCTGACCTGTGTTGTGATTGGAACCCCTCTATGTAAAAGTGAAATGTTCTTTTAGTATATAAGGTCTGATGCCCTCTTTACTGGCTTTACAGTAGATCATCAGTTTCAGTGCAAAACTTTTTGAATTCCCTTCACTCATGCAATGCTTCCTTCGCTCAATAAAACTGAATATCTTACAGAGTTCCTTTGTTGACAACATTGTTTTGGATTGCATTTCTGTAAGTTCTGTTTGTAAAAGTCTAATCGAAAATCAGTTTCTGCACAGTAATTTATTACAGTTGAGAAATTGGTGTCTGTAGCTGAAAACAAATTTTTAGGAAATCTGCTGTTTATAAACCTATGTATATAACAAAGGCCAAGAACTACAAGTTTGCTGTCTGATGATTTACTCATTCACCCCTTAAGACACATTTGAACTCTTCCAATTCAATGGTTGGAATAGTTCACTATGAAATTTCAGGGGTGAATGACTTAACTTGGTGTTTCTCCATCATATTTACTATCAATTGGGACCTGGTAGGGCTTGTTTGTTTGTTCCTTGTTTAGCATCCTCCATTTGCAAGGGTCATATGAAGACTGATCCTTATAGAGTAATGTTCTGTCATGTAGAGCTACAGATTATATCATTCCTTCAGAAGTAATATAACAATACCTATTGATGTCACCCAACACCTCTTATACCTGTAATTCGTTTTCGTGACAGCTTGCTGAGAAGAACCAGGATGTCAATGTGGCTGACCATAGGGACAAATGCAACACATCAGGTCCTTCCATTGAAGATCTACAGGAAATTGCCCACTTGAAAAGGTTTGATGATCAAATGAGTAGCTTATTGTATCTCCTTCATTTAATATCAACATGTTAGGCGAGGATGTAGTTAGTTTAGAACTTCTCCCCTGCAAAATCTGTGTTAACCTGAAGACACATTTGAACTCTTCCAATTCAAAGGTTGGAATAGATCATTATTAAACTTAAGGGGTGAATGAGTTAAGGATCCCTGTATTACTGCCAAAACCAGTAACATTTAATTGGAAACTGATCTTAATTACCCTGACCTGATTGACCCTGATCTTAATCACCCTGACCTGATTAACCCTGATCTCACCAATCCTTACCTGAGTATGACCCTGATCTTACTTACCCTGATCATCTGTGTTACCCTGATACCATTGATCTTAGCCTGAGTGATCCTGATCTTAATTACTCTAAAGTGAGTGACCCTGATCTGAATTAACCAGACCTAAGTGACATTGACCTGAATGACCCTGACCTGAGTGACCCTGATATCATTGATCTTGACATTATAGTGACCCTGATCTCAATTATCTTAATCTTAGTGACACTGATCTCTATTATCTTATCTGAGTGACCCTGATGTTAACTCATTTACCCCTGAAGACTCCTTTGAACTCTTCCAATTCAAAGGTTGGAATAGTTCATTAGGAAATTTCAGGCGTCAATGATTTAATGACCCTGACCTGAGTGTCCTTGATCTGAATTAACCTGACCTAAGTGACACTGACCTGAGTAACCCTGATCTCAATGACCCTGACCTTAGTGACACTGACCTGAGTAACCCTGATCTCACTGACCTGAGTAACCCCGATCTCAATGACCCTGACCTAAGTGACACTGACCTGAGTAACCCTAATCTCACTGACCTGAGTAACCCTGATCTCAATGACCTTTACCTGAGTGTCCTTGATCTGAATTAACCTGACCTAAGTGACACTGACCTGAGTAACCTTGATCTCAATGACCTTTACCTGAGGGACCTTGAACTTTTGTGACCCTAACCTGAATGACCCTTATCTTAGTGACCCTGTCCTCGGTGATGTTGGAGAACTGTGGCAGCTCTATGTACGATCTCATGATCAGTAACCCTGGGTAAATGTGACAGTTTGTGTTTAGCGTACATGTCGATTAAGACATTTGACAGGATAACCGTGCACATGTAACTCTGTGTATGAACCTATTATTTAGGTTTATTGATTTTGGAGTGATTTGTTGGGCTGATGTGACCTTCGGCCAAATGATAATTAATATCTGGAGATCTGTCAGAAACACACCTCATTTCTGACAGTTCAAACTACTGCCTAACTAACTACCAGCGTAAAGTGATCGGAATAGTATATACGTACTGGCTGCTCTATAGTGTGACGGTTGATTCTCAGATGTTATTTTAACCTTGTACTTTAATTAACTTCTGTCGGTGAATTCCTGGATGACATTACCTAACTAGGTTTGAATTCACTTTCATTTCACATCTTTGTTCAAGAATTTTGTAATAGGAATTGGGGAGAAACTGACAAGGTCTATTTAATCCCTTGACCCTATTTCTTTCATATAAGGAAGATAACTGGTATATACTTTAAATTATCTCATTGTAGTAAACTTTTAGAAAGGATAGCTTTTCTCCATGTGATTTTATGCACTTTTAATTAGTTCCATCTAGGAACCAGATAGGAACCTTTTAAATATCTGAATACAGATAGATTTAATGTATGTATTTCATTGTCATCATGTGAAACAAAAACATTCAGATGTAACTTGCTTTACTCGTGCAATCGCAGCTTTGTATGTTTGATTCGACCCAGGATTTCAATTGGTAATGTTTCAAATGTCCAGTATTCCATTTTATGCTGAAATGTTTCGTAAAGTTTGATATTGCACGGAGCTTGAATGTTCTGGGATTGACCTCTGGTATATACACTGTCCTTTGGTATATGTACAGGATCAAGGTTCAGAGGAAATATCTCTAATTGGTTTAAGTACTGTTCAGAGGAAAATCGGTGAATGTGCCGCCAGCCAGACCCAAGGGTTTTAGTGTTTAGAGTTTATGACATTATTGACTTATCCCACACAATCTTAGGAGGAACCACAACTGCATCAAACTAGGGTCCCTTATTTTGGAGCGGACAAAACAATTCAAATTAGCATGGATCAATAACTGTAAATGCTGATCATATGTCCTGTTAAGGGTTGGATTTTTTAGTGTGATCTTGTAGCCTATCTTGGTCGTGTTATGAGAAAGGCTTTCCCTGAGGGAGGCAACAGATCGGGTCTATCACTGTCTAGGCAGCGTGTTACGATGTGTAGTGTGTAACAAGTCGACAGACCGATATTACTATGGGCAGCTGTGCATCCAAACGTAGCTCTACTTTCACCAAACAAGGAGTCAAGAGGTGGGTCATGTTTTTACTACGTTTCTCTATTCCAGTACATTTTAGCTATTTTTAGCTATTTTTCGACTTCTCGTTAACTGTACATGTGCCTTGTAGCTAGCTGGAAGATGTGAAAGGATCAATGATCATATTTGCAAATTGGATGATCCTTCTGACTAGACACCATGACATTGTTTTACAAGACAAATTTGGAAATTATCAAACTATTATATCATCTGATATATTTTTTCATGACTGCTATTAACAGATTGCTGTGAGATTCTATTTCAGGGATATATCTAATGAAAAAAAATCATTTGATTCCCTAATATGGCAAAGTGATATAATGCGTTTTCGTTTTTTGTTTTTCTGAATTTATTGATCTGATGAAATTTTTATTGAAATCGCTTGAACAAAATCATATTGATTCTCAAACAATCTGTAACCTAAAAGATGATTTATTGCATTTGAGAATTGTCTAAAAAAAATCTGTGATATTGACATTATGTTTCACAAGAGAATGAGCAAGCCAATTAATCTTACCCTAGGTAAATATCACTGGATATTTTCATTCAGGTAGTAAATAATATAAATATATATGTACTTTTTTAAATCAGTTAAATGTGGGAAAATGTTTGCAATGTTGTATGAGTTTATATTTTAATTTGTTCAAAGTTGCCTGATATTTAGTGAAACATACATTAGAATTAATTTTTGTCCGACTGTCAATGAAATTTTAATGTAACTGTTGTTAGCATCTAATTTTGAGGAATAATGTAGAAAACAATATATGATACTATGTTATTAAATTTTTATTTTTGTATTTTTCCAATTATGAAAGATAGTTTAACAACAGTTTTTAATTCTAAACATGTTGTACATGTGATCAATACCTTGAAAATTGACATTCTTGCAATTAAGTTCTTACAGATTTGCTGGGAGTTAAGCCCCCCCTTTTTTTTTTATATCTGTGTATATAAACTTAACTACTAATATATACCTTCATTACCGACATCTGTGAAATTGGTAGGTACACATGATCAACACCATCGGGTTGTGAGCTGGCAGTTAAGTTTTACAATTGTTTTTTTCTGTAAGTTATTCTTCCTTTTGTATACCCCTCAAATTTTTTGACAAGACATATATGATGGTTTGTTGAGATCTGTCTGTTCACACTGCAAGATTACTTTTTTCATTATAATTTTGTTTTCATAAAACATTGTAAGCATGTACTTTATGCAAAGATTAAAAAGCTATGTATGAAAATAAGCAAATTTCTTGCATAATTAACAAGCATACTGCACTCTGATTAGTCATTAGTTTTGACACAATAACTTAATTTAAATTTATTGGAATTTTTGATGAAATTTGGTCAGTATTTATATTGTACAAAGAAATGAAGTGCTAAATTTGACAGTTTTGCACAATTAATTTGCATACTGCACTGATTGGAGGATGGTTCCCATACATAAATTTTGTCAAGGACGACCAGATTTGTATGATGAAATTTGGTTGATATTCATATTATACTATAACAAATGCCGAATTCAAAGTTGAACAAAATATGCACGTGGCATACTTGACTGGTATTTATGAAACTAATTTTAATTAAATTTAAATCACTGCCTCCGCTAGGGATCGAACCCGGGATCTCTGGCTTACTAGTCTTACGCTCAGTTGATCGAGCTAAAGAGAAGTTTTCTCTAGCCGAGCGATATATTGCAGCTAGTATTTACCAGGGTTACACACTTCCCCTTCCAGGAAAGAACAAGTCCTTGAGTTTTCCAGGGTTAACAACGATGCTTGTGGAGCAAGGCCGAGTATCTTTCCCGGGTCCCTACATGGGCGCCAATGTTACAGGAAATTAGAGACTTTCGACTCCAACTACGACCTTGGCCGCTGTGCAACCTAGCAGAAAAACCATAATGCACTACAAAGTTGTCAAATAAAACTTTAGCCACCGTAGTAGCACGCTGCTTACAAGTAGGAATTGCCTGTGCATAACTCATAAAATGGTCGGTGATAAGGAGGATATCCTCAATACAAATGTACCACCCTTGCAAGACTCTACTGAGAGAAAATCCATGCACACAAGCTCCTTGGGCTCTGAAGGTGTTATATCAACCAGTTCTGCTCTCTTGGTAACAGGAGTTTTTCGTCCGATACACCGAAAAACTGAAGTCACGACTGCAGTTTGCCTATAAAACTGCGTCTAAGCATGCCAGTCGTATCAACAGGACGTGTAGAGTTGTTATTCCAGAAAATGCCCTTTGAAATAGCCTTAGCAATTTATTTCTTTGGAGTGTATTTGTAGCTTTCTTTTTGTAAGAACCCATGTTAAACGTTTTAAACATGATGGTACCAAAAGTTTTAAATTCAGTTAGAAACAGTTTTCCTGTGTGTTCAATGATGGTAGTAATCATGGTACAATTAGTCTGATTGGCTGCTTAGGCAACAAGAAAATGGTTCTTAACAGGACCATCAAATGTGTGTTTTTGATATGTATTGATGTATGTTTGTAATATTCCCCATTGTGACATCTCAAGGGGCCATGCAATGATGTCATGAATATGTGGTGAAACCAAAAATATTTTCCCTTCGCATATTCTGGTCAATTTTACAAAAATTATCATTTTTGTGATG